CATCCTGACCCCCTCCCCTTTGTCCCACTAGCCCCCTTGTGCACTCAGCCCACATCCTGACCCCCTCCCCTTCTTGCACTCGCTGCTCTACTCTGCACTCGCCCCACTTGTGACCTTTATCCCTTCCTTCTCGTTCGCTCACCTGAGACAAAGAAGACTCGTCCCTGAGCCAATCAGCCACGACCACCCTGTACCTGTCAGTTTAGGACAGACATGGTTTACCTACCAATAAGGGAATGGGGTGGGATGGTCTAATGGGAGGGAAGAGGGGAAGGTATAAAGGAACTTTCTGGATAGTCTGTAAGGGCTGTTCCCACTTTTTCTTATAAGGGCAGCCCAGGCTCTGAGCTTGAATGAATAAAACTCCTCGTACCTTTGCAGCGATGTTTGGACTCTCAGAGTGGTGCTTGAATTGAGTCTGGGGGTTAACAAATCAATCTTTCTAAATTATTCAAGATGGGCATCTAGAGGGTGGAAGCTAAATTTACAAAACAATAAGAATAGGAGACGGGGGTGAAGGTCTGGTAGGACATAACTGATCAGATCAGCTGCGTCATGTTGGCCTTAGCCAACTTCATCTTACTCTCACTATATGTGCTGTCAATCATAACCCTCTCTCTCCTTGGGGATGTCCTTTGTTACTCATTAACAGGCTGCCTAGCCCACACCTGCAGGTCATCAACTTATCTAACATATCACTTGAGTCTGGGTATATGTCTGATACATGTTCCCTGGCTTGTCTCTGACTAACAGACTTCCTTAACTTAAAACATTCCTAGCCTTTAGACAAAGCCTCATTTCTTTAACCAATTATAAGTTGAAGAATCTTTAAACCTGTCTATAACCTATAGTCCCCTACTTTGAGAAGTCTCATCTTTTTAGTCCTAATCAACATATGCCTTCCACATATCAGTTTATGATTTTATAATTCCTGTCTCCCTGAAATGTTTAAAACGAAGCTATAACCCTGAGAGAGGATACCCAAGAAGGGTGAGGTCTAGGAGAAAGGTCTTCTCAAGGAGACCACAAGGATATACCTGCAGGGTCCTCTCCATTGGTGACTCAGCTCTTGGGAATTTGTAAACTTATCATCCTGGAACTTGGAAATGTCCAATTCTGTGAAATCCTATAGTTCTCTGGGGGCTGGAATAGCATCTCCTGCTTGATTCAAACTGGCCAATGAGAAGTGTACCTGTGGGTTGAAACTTTTTGACTGGAGATAAAAAGGGAAAGATCAAGCCAGCGGGGAGCACAGCCATTTGGAATTCTTCTATGCCATAAGCTCCCGGCAGGTGAATAAAGCCCTTCCTCTTATAAACATAGTGTGTGAGTGCTCTTTCCTGACACATATTTGGTTCCAACTGGGAAGCGAACACACACCTGCTAGTTGCCTCCAATACTCTGCACACCCACGTTGGGGCCCCAATAGGCCTGGGCTATGTGAACCACTAAGCACACCAGGGAGGCAGTTTGGCCTCCCTGTGTGGATGCCTCAACTGAGTGGAGAAAGGACCCCTTTGGCGGGTCTTCAAGGAGTCAAACACCAGGAGGAACTGGCATGTTATTATTCCTTGAGATGTACTTACACAGGAGAGATGTCTCAAGGCAAGATACAATCAATTTGGGATTCCCACCATTTGGGTGGAAGCAGGGGCCTGATCAACCCCTGGGGCGTTAGATCTCTGGCAGGTCAGTTGAGAGGTGTAGCAGAGTGTGTGGATGTGGTGTGACTGAGAGAACTCCGAGGGTGGGATTGGACCTCCCCTCATAGGGCCTACGGGAGTGTCGGGAGTGTCGGTTTGCTCCTATGGCTAAGTGGCAGTTCCAGTGGGAAACTGAGACTGGGCAGGTTAAGAAATGGGTTGGAATTGTGTGCATGTGAGTGCTTGGAGAATGACGGAAATGAGTAACAATAGGTGGTGTTTCACCCCCGACCCCTTCACAGAGTAAAACAATTGTGTGAGTGGCCCCTTCTTCCCTGCTCCAACTTTGCCCCCTGGCTATTTTGAGAGGAAACTGGAAGTTCTAGGTTTTCTGTTTTCTGTCTCAGACACAGATCTAGTCTTTGGCAGTCACATAGCCATGTGAGACTTGGGGGAAAATGAAAAGATATCAGAAAGGATGACTATGTTATGGTTTGGTTACTGGAATTTCTTCAGTGAGTCCTTGGTCACAGGGATTCAAAAATTAAGCCCACAGCCCAGAGATCAGTGATACAATTTTTGGATTTTATCCAAAATACCAGTGGATTTTGTTGGACAGAGGAGCATGCAGAGAGAGTGGAGAGTGCCAGAGCTACTGGTTGGGGAGAGGAAGCCCAAGTCAGATGTCTCCTGCATGGGTCATTTGTCTAGAGGTAAATAATTGGTCCTGAGAGATGTTTTGGCCAGATCATGGTAGATGGAAAAATACCTCTCTGTTCTTGCCAGCATCAAGATCCTTCCTGTTGCTCCTGGCTGTGGTGGTCTGCACCACTGCCACATCCTGTGTCTCCAAGGAGCAACCAGCTCAGCAGAGGCCTGGGAGCTCCCTAATGAATCTTGGATGGACAGTAGGCATTAGGAGCCCTCATTCCCCTTTGCAGCTCAATCCTTTCAGCATGCCCAAGGTTAGCAGAATGAATGGGCTGGACAAATTTAGCTTCATTTCTTTGCTAAAGGCCTAGAGAACAAGGTCAGAAGGTAATTACAGTGAGGAATGTTCTAGCTCATCTAGACTTCTTAAAGAGCCTCAAGAAAGGAAACAGGACTCCACAGACATCTTTGTTTCATCTGCCCAGAATTCTTTTCCCTTCCTTGGTGCTGGGCTTTGAAGCCAGGCTGTCTGGGTTTGTAATTTGCCAGTCATTAACAGCATGACCTTGAGCTAAGGGCCATACCTCTTTGTAGGTGTAATGATGGCATTGTGGGTTAATAAGTTTTTTTTTTCTTCCATTTTTGATGTGTATACTGAGGTCTTGGGGGATAGAAAATGATGAGATGTTTGGGATTCGCTTTAAAATATATGTGTATTCCAGTTAAAAAAAAAAAAAAAAAGCTGCCAGTGGTGTAGTGAGTGGGTGGGGAGAAGGTGAAGGAAACAGGCTCATTCTGGTTGAATCAGGATGGTGAATACATGTGGTGCGGTCTCACACTCTCTAGACTTTGTGCAGTTTCAAAAATTTTTCATAATAAGAGTAAACAAAAAATTAAACAGAAAATGAGGCTTTCATTCCTTCCCCACATCCAAAGGAACATAACAGGGACTTAGATGTACTTTTGCCCAATCACTCCTCTGGTCAGGTTCTATAACAGAGGTAAAGGTCTGTAAAAGGGAGAAATTTTATGATTTATTTTTTGAAGCCCCCTGTCCTTTTGGGGTTGAAACCTACATGCCTGCCCAAGGCTAGTAATCAAAGGGGCAGGAAAATTGTCTTCACTAAAGATACGGTCCACTAAAGCCACCAAGTATAGTTAGATAACACTAGCGTGAAGCCACAACAGGTGACACTGGTCACATAGACCCGAGCCCAGCCTCTGAACCCCACCCCTTTACAAAGCCCTATATTTTTGCTTAAAGGCAGGATGGTGGTTTTTTGAGACACTAGTCTGCCTCCCTCGTTTGCTGGCAAAATTAATAAACATAGTTCCTTTTCCTCAAACCACTTTTTCTTATCCTTTGTTCTCACTGATTTGGTGTCCGGCGCAAGTACTCTCTCAGAGTTCCAGTTCTCGTCCTATTCATCATTTTCTGTAGATACTACCATGGAAACACTATTGCCAGGTTCAATGTTAGGGACTTGATAGTTTTGAATTCTACACCCACTTTAAAAAATGACTGGGGCGGCTCCTGTGGCTTAAAGGAGTAGGGTGACAGCCCCATATGCCAGAGGTGGCGGGTTCAAACCCAGCCCCGGCCAAAAACGGCAAAAAAAAATAAAAAAAAAAAAATCCTAAAAAAAAAATGACCAGTTTCCTATTTGGGTGACCTGAAATACAGAAGTCTCATGGTAAAGTATTGCCTTCGTCTGTCCCAGTTTGTAGGGGCTATCATGGCATTAATATTTTCTCCAATGAGAACACTTGAGAGGAGAGGCCTAGATTCGTTTATAAAAGCAACCAGGCAGGCAGGAAAGATTTGCAGAGTGAAGTGTAACGTGAAGTTTGTGGTCTGAGTTGTCAGCCTCTCAAGGAGACAAGAGAAATGACTCATTGTCATTTGACCATGATACAGATAACGGAAGGGACAAGAGGAGAGAAGAACATCTCAGATGGGGTTGGGGGGTAAAAGGAAGACGGAGAATTTGGAGGATGGGGTTTGATTGCACCAGTGCTGGCCATACACACATATTTGCCCTTCCATGGTTGAGAGCAAAAATAAATATGCGCACGCACACGTGTCAGTCTGCTGTGTTCTGACTCAGCAGGTAGTGGGGCGCTCCCTGCACCACCTCGAAGACCCAAAATGCGCCCAGGGGCTGCCCTCCCTGGGTCTGAGCCCCAAGGTGGGTAGGGAGCTGCCCAGAGGAACCCGGGCTGCCGGACTGACCACCTCCTTCTCTCTGAGTCCCCTCTAACTGCAACCACAGGAGGCGACGCTACACTCCTCCGCGCGCGCTGAGCTAAGGGCAGAGACGGCCATCTCCGCGGAGGCACGCGCAGGAAAGGTGGGCAGAGACAAGTGACACGTTCAGCCTGGAAGGCGGGCCTGAGAACCAAAGGGTCTCCTTTCGACCATGCAAAACGAATCGGAGCGATTTTAGGGGAGACAACACTGGAAGGGCCGATTTTCCCCAGTGGAAACGGCAGGCTGGGGAGGGAGCCCGCTGGCCAGCGGGCCACATTCCTTCCGCGCTCGGCGGCGCCCTCCTGGGAGCAGGGCAGCGCCGCGAGGGCCTGCGCGAGCCTGCAGTTCCGCCCTCTGGCGCGTGGGGGCAGTACTGCCCCGCTGGTTCAACGCCGGCGGCCCTCGCGCCCCTCTTGGCGGCGGTCAGGTGGAGGCCGGCTATGGGCGCCCTCGCTCATTGGCTGCGGCGCGGGCGCTGCCATGTTGGCGGAAGTGGAGCCTCCTGTGCGGTGGAAACTGGCGGTGGCCGCGGCTGCCGGGTCGGTCTGCGCAGCCTCTGGTGTTTTCTCCTAGCTTGGATCTCTGCGCCGAGAGGCGGCTGCTGGCAGAATGGAGAAAAGTAGGATGAATCTGCCCAAAGGGCCGGACACGCTCTGCTTCGACAAGGAGGAGTTCATGAAGGTGCGCGCGGCCTCCTCGCCCCAGCGGTGGGCCGCGGGCTGCTCGCCCCACCGTGTCCTCGGAGCGCTCTCCTCGGGCTGCCGCTTCGGGCTGCGTCTGGGCCGCGCACGCCCGCCCCATGTCGGGTTCTCGACCCAGACCGCTCTGCACTTCGCAGTGGCCTCAGGCTTAGCAAGTGCAGCCTGGAGGAAGCACTCCTGCAAAATCTTGCATGTTAATTGAAAAGGCCTGAAAGTTCTGGGCAAGTGGTTTTGATCTCAACGTCAGTGTCCGTTTTATTACCCGGCCCTGTGACTGTGCTGTGCAGTCACCTTGCCGGTCCTCTTGTCAGAAAAGTTTATTGTCCAGTGCTTTGGAGCTCGTTAACTGTGTATTGAGTGTGTATTGAACAAGTATCTGAACCCATGTGCCTATCTAAGGGGCGGGTTGGGGGAAAAAAAAACAAAGTAAAGTTTTCCCTGAAATACAATTAGAGCTTCTTGAACAGGATATTCAAAAGCTTGAAACATGCTTACTGACTTTGTTGCAGTACAACAAAGCAAATCATTCCTGTTTTCTGAAGTTGTCGTACTTCTTTTTACAAGATGAACTGGGAGTTGGTTTGCGGGTAATTGTAGAACATAAGCTAAGAAAAGAAATGTAACTGAACACTTCACGGATGATAAAGGTCCATCACGCGCAGCCTTGAAAGGTCCAGGCTTTGAGCCAGAGTTAGAAGGAAACTACCTATTTGGTGTATCCCTCTGAGTCTGAACTTTAACCATTCAAAAAAATGTGTTTATATTTATTAAGGAGTGGGATTTTTGACACACTTAGTACCTGGTTTCACTGTTAAAAAGTTTCACTGTTTCACTGTTAAGTTTTCACTCAAGAGTAGACGCCTCCAATTTTGAACAAGTGAGTTTGAACATCTCACATTGTTTTGCCTTTTCAAGTCATGTTTTTTCTTTTTCTAGTTGATTAGTCTCTTTTTGATATTTGCATTCAGTTCACTCTTCAAAGTTCTGTTTGAAAGAAAGTGTATCTGGATCTTCTGCAGAGTGACCATCTAATTTTTAAAATGTGAGACTTAATGTACACCCAAGAATAATGCACCTTGTTCTTGTACAGTGATGTTCCTGCTAAACTGCCCTAATAGATAACTTGAATGAGATGTCTGAAAGAGTACACATAGTCAACTCAGTGATTCAGAAACCCTTTGTTCCACTCCCTGGCTAAGAACTTCCCTGAAACAACGGTGGAAAGAAACAAGGATTAGGTGATGGGGAGAGGTGTGTTGGAGGGAGAACGGGCACACAGAGATCAGGAACCTTGTTTTGAATTGAATCTCAGAGTGCAGAATAATCTTGTCTCTCTCTCAACTCCAGGCTTCCTTCATGCCCACTGCCAGCACCCTCTGACTCATTAGCCCCACCACCTTTCTCACTCTGAGCTGACAGAATGTCTTTGCTAAATGCAGCTTCAGGAAGTAGAAATCACAAAATGTAAGTTTTAAAATAGAACTTAGAGATAGGAAGAGAGAAAACTGGGAAAGTGGCTGGAATGCTAGTAATTTTATATTCTTTCATGGCTCTTACATCTCTGAATATGCCATTCATTTTGTAGTGTTGACAAACGTGACAACTTCATACATGGAGGAAAAGACATAATACATAGAACAGTTGTTCTGTAGAAGATGTTGGTTTTCTAGGTGGAACCTGAAAATAAAGGTTATTTGTAGTCTGTACTTCCCTTAAAGAAGCATTTTATGAGTTATAGTCCATGGCACAAAGGATGGGTGGAGTACTTGTTGTCCAGCTTATGTTTCTACATGTGTCTCATTCCACACATTTTGTAATTGGATAAGTTTTATTCACGTGACAAGGTTAAGGTATCTGGTTTGCATCAGGAGAGCTGAGATTGCCTAAAATCCAGTTAGTTCGTGGGAAACTGTCATTAGGTTGTCAAAGATGATGAGGCCATGCTAGTGTGATGGTAGCAGTTATTCAAGAGCATCCATTAGTCACCTACTGTATGGCAGACAGCAATCAAGACATGAAGGCGCAAGGTATGGTTTTGGACAGGGAATATGTGTGAGTTGAGAAACTGCACTTAGTCTAAAGTGGCTGGAATACGGAGGAATGGCCAGGAATAAGACCAGAAAAGTAGGTGGGTTGGGGTTCAAGTTGTAATGGGCCTTGTATATCATTCTGAGGGGGTTGTGTTCAACGTAATGTTCATTGTGGAGTCAGGTTGAAAGTAGGAAATTACATGGTCAAATTTGTTGCATTGGCAAGGAGGGTACTTAAACAATTATTTCAGTTTTCCTTATGAAATCTGTGAAATACAGAGGAGGGCACAGATTTGTGAAAGATAAAAGTGATCAAAAAGAGAAGTAGCAGATGGAAGATTCACTGGGCAGGGTTCGTGGTGGTACTGTTTGCTTTCTCAGCTTAAAAAAAGTACAAACCCCCTTAGAGAGGGTTGACAGCCAACTAATAGATGAAATGGGATATGAGATATTGGTTGTAGGAGAGAACGTGGTGTACTAACAATAATAAATTAGACCCACTTACCTAAGTGTGCTGCTGAAATCACATCCTTTCTTTCTCATTGTATGACTTCAGGTCTTGTTTCACAGAAAAAATAGAGGTCATCAGGTAGGAGCTTTTCCTTTGTGGTGGTAACAACCCCGTTGTAGCTGTTCTTGCCATCCCCTTGCCTGTTGTGTAGGGGGCTTCCTTGAGTTCTGTCTCCCAGGCTCAGATCTTACGCTCTCTCCCCTTCTGAGGACCCTGTTACTCTCTGCTCTACCACACTCCTTCCCATCGGCTCTCAGGCATACTTCTATACCTCTTTTAGTCTCTTCCACTTGATCCTCCCGTCAACAGTTATTGCCCCATTGCTTTCTTCCATCTCGTACCCACATGCTCCAGAGTTATCTTTACTTTCTCTTTCACTCTTAAGCTCACTTTGTTCTGGCTCTCGCCCCATCAATACACTACCCAAAATTGCTTTGAAGGATGCATAACTTCCCAAGGGGAGTATTTTGAAGATGACTATAGTGACATTCAGCAGTGAGGTATTTAGCACTTTTTCTAGGATGAGTTCGCAAACTTAATCTTCAGACCTCATGTATGTTGTGAAATGGATTACCATAATCAGTCTCATGTATCTATCACTTCACATAGTTAAGCCTCCTTTTTGTGTGTGGTGAGAACATTTAAAATCAACTCTCAGCAAATTCCAAGTATTCGATGCATTGTTAAAGTCTCTCCTTTCCATGTGCTGCATTTAGGAGATTTTGAGCACATGAACTTTGCAAACCTTAGCAGTGAGATCATGCAGTGTTTGTATCTCTGTGTCTGACCTGTCTCACTTAGCATGAAGGCCTCCAAGTTCATCCGGGTTATTGAAGAATGGTAGGATTTCCTTTTTTTTTTAAGACTGAATAACATTCCATCCCATGTGTGTAGACATCCTATTTTCTTTTTCAATTCATCTGTCAACAACATGAAATCAGGCTGTTTCCATGTCTTGGCTGTTGTGAATAATGTTGCAGTGAACATGGGAGTGCAGATAATGGTTTGAGATAGTGGTTTCATTTCCCGTGGATAGATACCCAGGAGTGGGCTTGCACAGTCTTATGGTAGGACTATTTTTAACTTTTTGAGAACCTCTGTATGTTTTCTATAATGGTTGTGTTTTCTTATTGTTTTTAATAACTCTTTGTATATTTTAGCTTGAAGTCCTTTATCAGGTATCCATTTTACAAATATTTTTTCTCAGTTTATGGTTTGTTTGTTCATTCTCTTAACAGTGTCTTTTGCACAGCAAAAATTTTTTTTTTTTGAGACACATTCTTGTTCCGTACCCTGTGCTAGAGAGCAATTTCACAGCAACCTCAAACTCCTAGGTTCAAGTGATCTTCCTGCCTCAGCCTCCCTACCAACTGGGACTATAGGCACCCACCACCAAGCTCAGCTAATTTTTCTATTTTTAGTAGAGATAGGGTCTCCTTGTTTAGGCTGGTCTCGAACTCCTGAGCTCAAGAGATTCTCCTACATTGGCCTCTCAGAGTACAAAGATTAACCGTGTGTGGGTGGCGCCTGTGACTCAAGGAGTAGGGTGCCTGCCCCATATGCCAGAGGTGGTGGGTTCAAACCCAGCCCTGGCCAAAAAGAAAAAAAAAAAGATTACAGGTGTGAGCCACTGCAGTGCCCAAAAGTTTTTAATTTTAGTGAAATCCAACTTAATTTTTTCTCTCATAGATTATGCTTTTGGTGTTGTATCTAAAGAGTCGTTGCCAAATCCAAAGTCACCTAGACTTTCTCTTGTATTATCTTCTAGAACAGTGGTTCTCAACCTTCCTAATGCTGCGAACCTTTAATACAGTCCAAAGGGGTCATGACCCACAGGTTGAGAACCACTGTTCTAGAAGTTGTTCATATTTTAAATTTAGGTCTACAATTCATTCTGAATTTTTATTAACAGTGTGAAAGGACTGTGTCTATATTCATTTTTTTACATGTGGATGTCTGGTTCTGGCTCTGTTGAAGACTATCTTTTCTCCAGTATGTTGGCTTTGCTCTTTTCTCAAAAACCAGCTTGCTGTGTTTGTGTACATCTATTTTGAGCCCTTTATTCTGTTCCATTGACTTGTCTATGTTTTCTTCTTTTGGAGACAGAGTTTCACTTTGTCACCCTTGATAGAGTGCTGTGGTATCATAGCTCACAGCAACCTCAAATTCTTGGGCTCTTGCCTCACCCTCCCAAGTAGCTGGGACTACAGGAGCCTGCCACAACGCTTGGCTATTTTAGCTCAGGCTGGTCTCCAACCCGAGAGCCCAGGCAGTCCACTCATCTCAACCTCCCAAATGCTAGGATTAGAGGCGTGAGCCCCTGTGCCCAGCTGACTTGTCTATCTTAATATTATAGTAAGTCTTGAGGTTGTGTAGTGTCAGTCAACCCTTGGAATTGACTTTTCTTTCTCAATATTGTATTGGACATTCTGGGTCTTT